TAAGCTATAATTTTGTTTTGATTTAGTATATTATGTGAACAATGCCAGTGTTGTGTTAACCATATTTGATAGTTTACCATGTCGTATAAAGAGCCATTGTGGCTGACCCAACAAATCATAGATTAGCACAATGTGATTCCAAATCAATCCCCAAACACAGATCAGGGAAATTCGGACTTTCCCAGTGTTTAAAGGGGAAAGAAGAAATCTGAGTCATTTTTGTAACTCTTATTAGAGAAACCCTGAAATGAACATACCAATTCTGTAACCAAATTATAGAAAAAGGAACTGACTTGTGGTCATTTGATCAGCCCACACTATTTGAGGTATAAATAGCTATATTGCACAGGAGTATTTCTTACACCTTCTACATTTCAAACAAATGCAAATTCTTGGGGGAAACCCATATTTAAAATAACAGCGTGTCTCCTCTGAGCTACTTTTACACTTTCTCAGTTTCTGTATCTTCTCAATTTGGTTTCCTTCCTGCAAAGGCTTTTAGAACATGGACTTCCTTGTTTACTGAAACTGACAGACATATGGATGCTATTCCCGTCTGTTCCAAAGTTAGGATGTGATTAAGTCACCTAACTTGCTGAATATGCTACCTTAAAGAACAGCCTAATTGTATTTATCCCAGTTACCATCACAACCAGAAAGAGTCGCCAATTATATAGGGTAGTTCTATATGGAAGTTTCCTTGTGTTACAGATCAAAGATGCACTGTAGCTACAGTATTTCATAATTTAATAGGAAAAATAGTCTTATATTGGCTTAATTCATACAACACACTAAGTCATAATATTGGTTCTAGTTTAACCTGCTGTACTAATCAAGTCACTGTAGGCTGTAAACTATGGTAAAATAAAGCATGGTTTAATAGCATCACCACTGACTCTGTTTGCCTGATGTGCTGCATTATAAATCTCACTGCACTGCACAAAATTGTCCTTAACATGGATGTCATAAGGTACACAATCTAAGGTACAGCATGCAGATTAAAACAATAAAAGATGGCAGCGTTTTAGAGCTTGACCACAAAGTGATATTGAACTCTCCATTACAGAGGCACATGTGGAAAGAAAGAAAAAAACCTGAAACATGTTCACAGATTCAGTTCTCCCAGTTTCAGGTAGAAGTTGGTCTGGTCCTAGCTGGAAATGGCTGAGACTGAACCTGCAACCTTCTGTATAAGAAATACATTTTCAGTCACTGAGCTACAGTTTGTCCCAGAGAAGATAGGAATGGAAGATGATACTTTGTGCCCTAATAATTTTCAATGAATGAGGCAAGCTAATGTAAAATAAATATCTCCCTAGGATGTACCCACAGGCATGATGTAAAGAGGGAGAAAATAAGACACTCTAGATCATGTTGAAAAATGTCTGCTGCAAAAGCACAAAGAAAAACAACACAGATGTCCTACAGGGAAAAGGCACTGAGTGTATGTACATAATCCCAGCAAAAGCCTGATGTGAGTCTGGGTTAAAAGGGTTTCCAAACAAAGATTCCCCATGGATGCTTTCAGAGAACACATGACCACAATTCACAGTGCTAAAACAATTATGCCAACATTTTAACTGATCTGAATTCCCAACTTCATGATGCTTTTATTTTTAACCCAGTGATCCTCAAATCCTTCTGGAGAAATATAGGAGGGAGAATTTGCTGAAAAAGCCTAAAATAAATGAGACATAAATGGGACTGAGCCTCAGAACACAAATTTCTTACTTAGCAGAGAGAGCATTTCATTTACCATCAAGTAACCCTTACAACAGTGATGGTGAACCCCCCGAAACAAAAGAGAAACAATTATTTACATATTCATTTATTTAAAAAAACTACAGTCCAGACATGTAGTGCTATATATTATATAAATAAACATCAAATAATTACAAAAATGAAATACGAGTAAAACAAACTCAGTTTCTTAACTCAAACAGGGAGAATACTTGTCATTGGGTGTTAGTGAATGCTGGTGTGTCACCCAAAATGTCGTGGCGTATCACTTTGACATGATGTCATAGGTTCACCATCACTGCTCTAGAGTTTGAGATAAGCTTAAGTACAAGTATGTATTTTTAAATATGAACCACTTGTGATACAGGGCCCCACAAAAAGGTGGTCTTTAGTAGTGATAAATACCCCATGGGGGAAATGGAATGCCTGCATTGCTAGTTAGTTTTAAAAAAACTGTAATTTGTTCCTAGATTAATACTTATCTTATTTTTATTATAGTGTATGTGCACTGAGTCACAGTGCAGGGCATTGTTCTAAGCATATATGGCTGTCATCTTTCATGTCTTTGTTGTTAATACTTGTTTACTGGTTTGGCTGTTGTGACCTATTTTTTATTGGATGGAATTTTGTAATTACTGTGTTTTGGGGGTTTATATCATGCCTTGGCAAAGACACATAATAAATTAGTAGTAGTAGAAATCATGTTCCTTTAGAGGAAAGAGGACACTTCCTTGATATCAAGGATAAGGAAATGGTGGGAAGTTCCAATTCCCAAAGAGGTGCTACTAAAACTTTGGGTCAGGGATAACAGAGAAGGGAGCACAGTGCAGGCATCCATTTCTAATGGTGGGACAGAAAGAAAAAAACCAATACCCACCCACCCCACTTTATTCTGGCTCTTCTAAATGATGGAACACAACCATTATGGTCTAATTAAGAGATACCTTAACAGCAAAAATGGGAGTTGCCATGTAATTATCCATTTTTTTTCCACGTCTGTTGCCATGTAATTTTAGGCAGCCACCCTGAAATTATATCACAATTCAGAAGGAGAAGGTTATGAGCCAGTTACGGTCATGCTGGACAGAAGGATCAACGATGAATTTCTTTTTAAAACTTTAGTTACAAAATAATAAGACATGTGGATGAAATTAAACTGAAGACATTATCACTGAAACAAGAACTGATCCATAATAACAAAAATGAAGAAAGATTTGTGATGTTACAATGTAAGTTGCACAAAGATTCCTTGCATGGACTGGTGGCATCACAGGAGCCCAGTTAAAGTGAAACTATCTCTGAATATTCTTTTGAAAAGGGTTACCAAGTAATCACCCCGACAACATACTGTGTAAGTACATTCCACCTTATCTGCCCACCTTCTTTGGTGATATAAAGCTACAGTATAAATGAAGTTGAATATAACTCTGCTGATCAAAAAGAAAAACATTAACTACATCAGCTGTGTTTTCCACAAACTGTACTTGATACCTAATATAGTCAACAGAGCGCCCCAAATTCTGCCCTGTTTACCAGTCAACTTTCAAACAATTCAAGAATAGATTGAAGATATTCATGTATTTAATTTAGTGCCGGGGTCAGAACATCATGCTAAGGCATTGTTTGGTTTTAAACATGATTTCTTAACTAAGTTTCAATGGCAGTGTTCACACCGTAAGCCATGGCTTCCTTAATCAGAGTTTAATGGCTGGTTAGGATGACAACTCATTAAGCCATAAACCACAGTTTTCAAACAACACTGGCTGGATTTGTGCAGCTTTCTTCATTGAAATTCTTCTCCCAGCCAATGAGTAAAGGAAGAGAGGCAGGTAAATACCCTATTCTTCTAACCTCTTGTGACTTGTAAGTTTCAGAAAGTGAAAATTAGGAATACCATTTGAGAAGAGTAAAAGATTAACTTTTCAGTTCCATCACTGTGGCCCTGACTGAATCTCAGCTTTCCTACTAGCTGGTTTTAAGCCTTGAGTGGGGGACATTTTTCCTGTGGAACATTGTGTTTTTGTAGGATTATGTGATGGGGAACACATAGCCTAGGGTGAACAGAGCCACCTTTTTCCCTTGCTCTCTTTCTGCCAGCCCTGTTTTTTGTGTCTACTTCTCTCTCCCTCCCTCTCACTTCCTGCCTAGTGGGCTGCAGCACAAGGGACAGATTGTTTTGATCCAAGTCATAAATGATTGCTTGGAGAATGATTTTGCAATTTGGTCAAGGGCCACATGGCCCAGGTTTCCCATCTATTTGGGCCAAGAAAACATCAGGAGATCCCTATCGCAGATCTCTCATGTCATGTCTCATTCAACATTTTTGTTTTTTAATGGCACAAAGGGTAAGCCAATTGCAGTTTAGTCAATTAATCATAGTTAAGCAAATATTATTTAGTGAAGTAAGAGAGCCTAGCCTTTGTGCCATTAAAAAAGTGTAACCCAATGTAGGATGTAATTTTGGCTCATTGCACTGGGTGCAAGAAGGTATAACATCAATATCAATGCAATATTTGCAGAGCATAGCCTGCCTACTTCCTGTTACCTACTGCCAGAAAACTGAAGAGACTGAAGCCTGCTCTCATTAAAACAGGAGTAACCATCTTTTTGCTCATTCTCCTTTAACAAATTTTCTCCCATGTTGAAAGAACACACTGAAACAAACACTAGTCAACCACATTTTGTCTAGTTTAATGTGTTGTGTGAACCAAACCAATATTAATGACTATACCTCTTCACTTGCACAATGTATTAAGCTAACATGTACTTGAGTTTGTGGCCTAGTGTATTGCATTATTTCAGCCAGTATGATCCACGCTTTAGCATATTCTTTGAACCCTGACAACTGACAGTGGTTCACTTAAAACTGGGTTAATAAGTTGTGTGAACATAGCTAGGTCTCCAAATGATCTTGTTTAGTATGTCAAGTAAATATAGTCCAATAATGCTAAATAGGGGAATTTCTAACTTCATCCCAACCCTATCAATCAAAACATGTCTTCCTTCCTTGTCTGTATTACAATGCCTTCTACATTCTAGGAAGCGATTGGTTGTTTTTCCAGTTTACAATATACAGGTAGTCCTCGGGTTATGATGGCAATTGAGACCAGAATTGCCATCACTAAGTGATGCAGCTGTAAAGCGCAATGTCATGTGACTGCATTACTTAGCAATGGCAATTCCAGCAGTCCTGGTTGCCATTGTTAAATGAGGACCTCACATAACCATGACTTCTGACTTCCTGCCTGCTTCCCCATTGACTTTGCCTGTGGGAAGCCAGCAGGCAATGTCAGAAATTGCAATCATGTGACCACAGCTTGTTGCAACATTGTAATCGTGAGCCAGGTGCCAAGAGCCCAGATTGCGGTCACATGACCGTGGGGACACCATGACAGCCAGAACTCTGAAGACTTATTGTAAGTCCCCCTCGTTCAATGCCATTGCAGGTTTGAATGGTTGCTGAATGAGTGGTTGTAACCTGAGGACTACTTGTACATCTTTTGGACAATATTTTGTCCAGCAGCACAGTATTTTAAAGTGTATCAGCAAAGTATATGCATGTGTATGGCTATCTTTCAGGGATGTCATCATTCTGGATTCCAATGTGCCTATTTCACATTAGCTGGGTTCATACATTATGGTAAGGTATAGTTTATTTATCCATGAATTAAGTGAACCACAATTAGCTGGGATTGCACAACATATCAAACCACAATTTAAGATTTATAACCCACAAAGGGTGGCTTCATAATCAATAAACTAAACTACAAGCTTAGTGACATGGTTGGTTTATACAACTATGGGTACACTTATCCAGGGTTAACACAACCATAGTTTACTCAGGCTAATTTTTGGGGTTTACAGGTCAAATGGAACCACAAACTAACCTCACTGGCTAGGTATGCACATCATGTTAGGCTATGATGTAGTTAGCTAGCTAGTGGCTCACTGCACTGCTTATATATAAGGCTAGCCACACTTCTGGATTTTGCCTGACAATGAGCATTCTAAAGTCTTGCCAAGAAAGAACATCTATACAATTAAAGGTTTTGTGATCCTGGCTGATAAACTTGAAAGCTTTGCTTCCTTTTATAGCTTATTGTGTGAAATCAGCATATGGCAATTTAATCCATAAATTATGCAATTATACCTAAAATAGAAGCAGAATCTTCTGCTCTCTTCAGGGCTGTATCAAAAGGGGAGTACCAGGCAAGGGCTAGGCTTATTTTCATGGATGTAAAATTTGGTTTAAACATAGTAACATTAGAAAGTAACCTTGAACTTCAACTGTCCAGCAGCTTATCAGCAAAAACTCATTTTTGAGGCTTTCGAAATTTGCTTTGGAGAAAAACTCTTGGCACACATAAGTTTTCTTTCTTGTTCAGAGTTTCTCGAAACACATATTCATTGACCATTTCCTCATATCCCACAGACAGGAAAAGTTCTGCCAAAAACTCTATAGAAAAGGAGGGGGAAAAAACACACTTATGAAGCTTATGTTAAAGTGCAAAGATGAAATGACACAAATCCTAAACAGGCAGGTTATTCTTCTCAAAACCTGTAAAAGTTTTTGATTGTTTAAAAAAGAGATAGGCACCTCTAGATAATGCAGAAAACGATGCAATATCCAAAGTCATTTTTTCCTTCCATTTGCCCAGGAAAGCTGCTAAGCATGTGACTGATAGATAATTATTTGCTCTTTTTATGACCACATTTAAGATACATCTTTTGAAATAACCCATTCTAAGTATCATTACATTGTCAATATATTTTTTTTAATGAAGTACTTTTCAAGACAACTTGGAGATCATTTGGGGTAGCAGGGCTCAGCTTAGAAGGTATCTCAAAAGAAGCCCTTACCTGAAATGTGGGCAACTGTCAAATTCCTTTGGGGCTAGTTGTAAAATAGAAACATCTCCAGTGGATTATATAAGGCTGCATTCACATTCTTTGCCCTCTGTCACCATCTGACGGTCAGAGCCAGTAATATTTTCATTTTCCTGAAAAGAAGTGGGAGCAGGCTGATACTCTCATGTCCTGCTTGGGGCTTCCATATGTCCTTGTCTGGCCACAGTGAGCAATAAGATGCTGGACTGAAGTTCTTAGTATGATTTAGTCAAACTCTCATTGCTTTCAAGAACACAAGAAGGTATTACCTTAAGAAAGCATAATCCTTACATGCTACAGTGCATGACATTGAGTATAAAAAGAATGTTGAAGGACATACCTTACAGTTTCATTAGGTTAATACTTTATAGTGGCTAATATTAGATTTGGAGTTAAACACAAACTTACATTATTAGCAAAAGGATAACATACAATATCAAAATGAATGTTAATAGTTGTTAGGTAACATTCAGATTTTGAAATTGCTGATTGCAGCTTTTTGATGTTTAAGCATATCTAGCCTCCTAAATTTTTGAACAAATGATTTTCTTTATCAGTATGTTTGTACTGTAGGAAACCTTTCAGTCAAAACATCTAGACATTATTTATAGATAAGTAAAGAACTACAAACATCGTACATTTGTTCTGACAAACACAGATGCTGACACAAAAACAAGCAGCCACTCAGTAACTCAACTCCCCCCA